CTTGATTGATGCTAATGCCCCCCACCCCCCCACCACAGTCCGCTTTCCAGCATCACCAGCATGACACCAGTAAACACTTGCATGACAAAGGTGCTGTCCTGGCCGGGGCTGCTTCCATTGTATATTAATATGGATGGCAGTTTATAATTCATGGGGTAGGATTACTTGGGAGTGCTGGTCCCAGGCCTGCTCCCAGCATTGACACAGCGAGCACTAACAATACTGGACATGCCTCGCTCTCTGCTGCCCACCCCAATGCCCATTATAATAATATATTCAAGGATTAAAGGGGTTTTATCTTAGACACCAATGAATTATGAATAGGGCATTTCAAAATTTAATTGCCCCGAATTAAATGATTCAAGATAATGTTTCTTTTATAAATTGGTAATAGGGCCAGGGGGCAAAGAAGGGGAAAAGACATTAAATAAACCTTTTTCCCCAACAAAAGGGAGAAGAGAGAGGAATAATAGACGGATGGTGACCTCATGTCTCTGGAGCAGGAGATGGCTTGATCCTAAGATAGAAGGTTGAAAAACAACACTACACACAGGAGGTAAGAAATGAGATGAAGTTTAATCTCTTCAGCTTCAGGACAAGTTTCCTTTTCAACTCCATATTCCGGCACTTTTTACACTGACAAACCGAGAACTACTGCATACGGTGAAATGGTGAGGAGTCCAGTTCAGCTGGATAACAATGTACCCACATAGGACTTGTTGAGTCAATGGCTAAAGCACACACATACACACACGCACACACACGTGCACACTCAAACACTATAGTACAGGGGTCTTTAGAAAATCAGCAAACAGACTCAGTGTTACCAATAAGGTTGGTAAAAGTACATGATTGCATAAAAAATACAGATTTGTGATGGAAAAGTGCTCAAGCCACAGAAGTGAGAGATCAAACGTGATACAAAACAAGAGCATCATGTGGTACAAAGTGGTCATAAACATCTGACCTAAGGTGAACAGAAACTAGTTTTGATCATATTAATTAATGCAACATTGCCTTCCCTTCACACCACCATCCAACCTCCATGAGCTGACAACACGGCAAGGTTAGCTAAATCTTCCTAACTTTACAGGTTAACTAGGAGTGAGCCCAACTCACATTTTATGTGGTCGAATGCACATCACCAAGTCAAAGCAGATATTTACACCGATCAGCCATAACATTACCACCTGGGCACCCTGGTTCACCACTTTTCCTTCCTTGGACCTTTTTAAAGTTTTTATTGCCTTTATTTGATAGGGACAGCCGGAGATAGACAGGACAGAGGGGTAGAGAGAGAGGGGATGACACGCAGCAAAGGGCCGCAGGTCACATTCGAACCCTGGGCCGCTGCAGCAAGGACTCAGCCTCAGTACATGGGTCACCAGCTCTACCCACTGAGCTAACCGGGCGCCGCAATTTGGCCCTTGTTAAAGTCACTCAAATCATTCCCATTTTTCCTGCTTCGAACACATCAACTTGTGGACAAAATGTTCACTTGCTGCCTAATATATCCCACCTACTGACAGGAGCCATGATAACCAGTGTTATTCCCTTTACCTGTCAGTGTTCATAATGTTATGGCTGATCGTTGTATATCCATTTATAAAAGGAGTAAGAAAGTATGCTTAGTTCAAAGGTAAAATAAAAACGGAATCAAACTCTGCTAAAGCTACTCATATTTTAACCAGCATTAATTTCTGTAGGAGTAGGAGTAGGAGAGAGCAGGGACAGTTATAAGAACCAACTCAGACAATATAGCAGAGTTCATGGACCAGATGCCCCCAGAACCCTTTTCCACCAAATTAGTTCAGGTTCTTGAACCAATTCCATTCAAGACTCTTGGTGCTATCTAGCGAAACAGCCTGCGCATTCATCAGTTTTGAGTGGAAGGACCTAGAATAAGACACACCCACTTTGGTTGCCATGAAAACATGCTATTTTTTTGTTCCAGCTGGGAACAAATTTTTCAGGTTTCTGAACTAATTTATTCTTGGTGTAAATGCTCTGAACAGGGCAAAAATAGGTGCTTGAACCAGAACGAAGCCGGTTCCCTGTTGGTGGCTAAAGCTAAGGCTATTTGTTTAAAGATTGTCACTGAGACAACTAATCAACATAAAATTAATTGGCAATTGTTTAAGCAATGTCAAACCTTCACTGGTTTGAATGAATGTAAATATTTGCTATATATCTTTTAGGTTTTGAACTGAAAAAAACCTTCTGGAAAACTGATGGATTTGTTAACTATTTTCTGATATTTATGTACCAAACAATTAATTGAGAGAATAACTGGCAGATAATTGATAATGAAAATAACTGTTACTTGCAGCCCTTAATAGGGATGCATGATATGGATTTTTTCCCCAGCCAATATGATACAGCAATTCGCTGCTTCTCATGGCCAATACCAATAAGAAATTTCACAATTGTTTATTATAAAAATAAGTTTGTAACCTAGTAGGTTTAGTTTTCGTTACACCTGAGGGTAAGAAAGGTTAAGATGTAGTGAGCCAAAATGGATGATTTAATATTCCATAGCTCTGTTCTAACCAAATCTATCACCACTATTGTTAACACAACAATTCAACTCGACTCTTCGTGTGTTAGTTCCTTTATATTTTTTAGTTAATTAAAAAACTTCACACACTTTCATAGAACATAAAGTCTGTCAAATGTTTTGCATATAAATTCAAAATAAATATATATTATATCATACATTATACCAATATCAACCTATAATATATCGGCTTTAATTTAATTATCTCGAATTCATAATGATAACTTCCCATTATCGGCCAATAATTTATATGTCCCGATAATTATCGTGGATCCCTAGCCCTTAGGGCTGCACAATACATCGAAACATTAGCAAAGTGGCCATGTTTAACATGCAAGTCACAGAACCTTCTTCAAACAATACACCAACAGTGAGTCCGTCCACTGAATGTGATTCTGTATATTGACAGCAGTATTGCATGGTTCACTCTCTTCACTGGATAAGGTTTACCAGAGTACAGAAACTTTAATGCTGCAGTAGGTAACTTTTTTTAAATAACTTCATATTTGCTGAACCTCTCATTATATTCTGACAGTAGTACATGACACTACTGGGCCTGAATGAAAACAACCAATCATAGCCAAGAAAGAGAGTTGATTGTTGAGTCTCATTCCAAGGTTATCAAATATCGATGCTGGGAATGAGACTCAACAATCAACTATCTTTAAGCCACCAACCAAAAGTGTCTTTCTATCTTTCTTGGCTCTGATTAGTTGATTCTTTCAAATGCCATTAGGAGCACTAGGAGGAGCCAGAGGAACCTGTTTTTTTCACAGATTAACTGTCTGTCAGGATATAGTATAAAGTTCCAACAAAAATGACAGAAAATGTTTGATTAAAGTTACCTATCGCAGCTTTAATCTTATAACCACCAAACTATCAGAGCAAACATGACACTCCAGTACAGCAATGGAGACATTAAAGTTCATTGGTAACTTTGGGAACAGTAGTCTGTCAAAATAATTAACAAACTAGAGTAATTAAAAGGTACACCGGCTATTGTTGTGTAGGGCTTTCAACCACATCTCACAGTCTCACAGTAAATGAGTTTGACCTAACAGTAAATTGGTGCTTTAAGGTGGTAGTATAAGGTGGAGAGATCAGTCATAAAAGTGAATACTAAATCTAAGACACAGATTATTGTTTGATCCAGATTTCTAAGAGCAAAAAATGTAGAAACATGGAGGTTTAACATGGCAGCCTCCATGGAATAGGACCCGCTCCCTCTGTAGATAAAAACATCTCATTCTAATGTAACAAACATAACGATTCTTATTTTCAGGTGATTATACACGAATGAAAACATACCAAAAAAACATTAAAAAAGAAAACATTAATATAATATTCCATTTATGGCAATACATCTTCCGAAATATTACACACCTTTAACCGAATATTCTCCATCCTGACTGAATTTTTTAATGACGGAAAAATTTGAAGGACTGCATCATTTTTGACAGATCAGCACTGGCCACTAGGTGAGTGTGTTAATGTTAATTAGGTATTTTCTAGTAGCCTTGTTTTTAATCTCACATCAATTACCTCATTGTCTAGCTGGCTTTAGCCATCACATTGGTATTGGTATCCGAAGTTTCTCTAGAAAGCCCATGCTCTTTTCTCAACATGCCCTAATAATGTATGAACTGTAAGTTCTATATAATAAATGTTACCGTGATTGAGTTGTTTGTGAAAATTAAATTTTATTATACCATGGTCTGGGGGAATACTCGATTCTGATTGGCTGCAGGGTGTCCATTAATCCCTGATATATGGACACCTACTAAGTAGTTCCAGTCAAATTGTCTGTTCACCGTTC